AATTCAGGCCGTCTTTCCTTTCGAGGGCCCTTCGTCGGCGTCTTTCACGGCTCCGAAAACCCCAGCGAGCGTTGACAGACGTACAACGTTAAGAAACACACTGACACCAACAGAGCCCCAGAGCATGTCATTCCACTTCGGAGGGGTCGGAGTCAGCAATGTCATTGAATAACAGGAGCACAGACCGACTCTCCTCTCCTCCCCCTTACGGGCGGAGGAGGAGACGAAGGAGGAAAAATATCGGGAATACATACCTCGGCGGGCCGCAGGAGCAGATCGAGGCCGACCCCCACGTAGCACGCCCAGATGTGGCCATAGTCGGCCAGCGCGACGGCGGCGAGGTACCAGCGCGCGGTACGGGCGTGCGTCGTCCAACTACAGATGACGGCCACGGCAGCCAGGAGAAGGTAGACGTTCACGAGCTGCAGAGTCAGGATCTGGGCCTGTGTGTGTGTGTGTGTCGTCGATGGTTAAAAACTGATTAGGTAACGGCGGAAAGGGGAAGGGGGGTGGATGTGCGGTTGCGGTGCGGGTAATGAATTGACTGACCTGCGGCGGGAATGACGACGGATCATCATCTGCTGCCGGTAGTTCGTGGTTCTGCGCCTGGCGGGCGTAGAAGGCGAATGGGTCCTGTAGCGTCGTGATGTATGCTATCACGCTGTTTGTTCGCGTAATTCGTACCTAGCGTAAGCGCGTGCTCGCAGTTGTCTTCTTCAAATAGGGTTTATGAAAACTATGTGTGTGTGTGTGTGTGTATGTTTTTTTTTTCTGGCGAGTTCTCTTTTGAAACGTACGGTCGTTCGACCGAGCCACGAACGGGAAATGAGTAGACGAATTGTAGAGGGGGGGGATATATATACGAATGTATAGGTACGTACAGGAGCACTGGTTCGATGATCCCGAAGATCACGAATGGGATTGTTGGTAAACATGTTATGGTCATGGTTGGTTGGTTGGTTGGTTGGTTGGTTATGGTACCTAGTTGGATGACGAATTAGAGAGGCTGCTGGATCTGATAGGAGACTTTTTCTGTGAGGTAAGTGACTGGTTGGTCTCGAGGTAAGATGTATGGAAAATAGAAGTGAGACATGAAAGAAAGAGTATCTACCGTGGTATATACTACGGGTATATAAGTACGGGAGAGGGGGGTTGTTGGACGTGAGATCCAACAAAGAGCAATAATTGTGTAAATCTGGGGAGTGAGGTGAACATCTGGATATCTACGTTTATAGACATGATATCGTGTGATGTTCTATGAGTTAAAGAGATTTATATCCTGGTTACTAGACTAGGGTAAACATGCAGCTATACGGGCTTGTAGTCCCATTTGAACTTCCTCCAGTTCCCAAATTGCTGATGTTACGTATAAATGCCCCAGCGTTTGATAAATTCAATGGTGGAACAAATGAGATATGTGGTCCTTCATCGATAATATTATTCGAAACGCCTCGTATAAACAAGTAGCCAACTTATCAGGTGCATCACCAATATTGTAGTCATGAGATTGCCTGCCCTCGTTTGGCATGATGGATCAACGGCCATGAATCGCTTTGCGCTATGAATGATTTCATTGGTGAAGTTATCTACATCTACAGGTAATGAGGCAGACGTTACCATGTAACTGCCCGTGTCTATTAGATTAGTTAGTTGGCTTCTCTCACTACATATTGCGTTGCGATTTGAATCTAGACCACTTTACAAAGACCAAGTTCGTTGCTAATTAACGAAGGATGAAAGAGCCTTGGTGAAGATGACCGCTGGCGGTTAATAGATCCTGTCGATATTGTGTCTTTAGTTGACGCATCTGTACAGGTTCTGCGACTCTAAAAGCCGTGTTCGCTTTAGTGACTCATGATATGTGTGGCCCTAGAAGGAGACGCATGCCCTAATTATTACAAAACACTATCCGTGGGTTTTATGTTTCCTAGAAATGGCCCTGGAAGTATACCGCATGATGTTTCTATGTGCAGGGTTTCTCACTCAGGTATAGGTAGGTATAGATAGATGAGACTACCAGTGACTTGACCCGCGAACCCCTGGCTATTGGTCACAAATCGTGATAGTTACCAGTAAAACCCCGAGTCCACGATATTTATAATGAACAAGACTGCATTACTATACCGGTCTATTGCAGCACCCAAGGCTGAAGAATAATGAAGAAAGGTTATCACCACAAGAGAGGCAGTAAGTAGCTCGGAATCCCTGAAAGAATTGGGGGGAAATACTACATTCTGGCGGCACTAGAGAAGATGAGATTTTGGTTGTAGAAATAAGAGAAATAAAGTAGGTGAGTTACCACGAATGTCAATGTCGCCAAAGACGCTGGGCAGAAATATGCCACGTTAATATAGCTAAAATCCAGCAGCGTATAAAAAAGCAACAGCCTATACTAAGGCGGGACCACTTAGGATTTAAAAGGTATTCTCAATAGACTTGTCTCGGGCACACGCACAGACGAAGGAAAGGTACAGGTAAAGGAGTTTTGGTCGTATGCGTCAAGCTCCTCAGGGTTGAAGCGAAGGGATTCGGTTCAACGCATCTGGGAAATACATATCTTTGTACCAGCTGCTGGCAAAATGATTATGATCATTTGGCAAGAAGAAGGCTTATTAAGAGGCCCTTTTGACGGCCTTGACCATCCTGCTGCTCTCTCTAAACTCGTAAGGGCCATTTATTGGCCAGCCCGATTAAGGAGCATCCGAGACCCAAGTTACGGAACCGCAAAAATACTAACATCAAAGTATCAGTCTCTCATCTAGTTTTCCAGCTACCCAGAAAATCTCACTGCAGTTCATATGACCTCAAGGCTTCTCTGCCATTGTTAGATCGTATGTATTCAATATATCTTTATACATACCAATGCTGTTATTGTCACACAGACCCAAGAGACTAAGACCACCAGAGACCCTTTAGCCCAGGACTCCAATATCATGTGTGTAATCATATGAGCGGCAAGGTTAGCTCCCGTACCCGTCCGATCCGCTAGGCTTGCTCCCGTACATACCTGATTGAATAAGACAGGCTATACGAGAGCGAGAGCGGGGAACGAAAGCGAGGCTTTCGCTTATAGGGACCTGGGTCTGGGCCTCATGGCCCCCTTGACGCCCTAGATGATTATTGCAATTTGAACGCTTTTCCAGGCCCTTGAAATCAAGCCCTTGTTACAGTTATGAAGCCGGTTTTTACCGCAAACGATTAAAATTTTGTATCAACAGGTTTAGCCAAGGGGGGTTTTTTCGGATCCTCGGCGCAATAAAGGCGATCGCCGACAACATACGTAGTTAACTTACCAAGTGTCTCCCAAGTAAAGGCAATGAGCTTTAATCACCACTTCTTCACCACCACCGACCCCAGTGACCATAGTTTCTATTAGCTCGCTCGAATATTGGATCTGTATGTTACGAGTACACATATTTACATATTAATGTGAGTTGCAGGCGGACTATGCTATCTCTAAACACCCGTTGGGGGCTTACCGGAGATATATCGCCTCGCACTTGCTTGCACATGTCATTGTAGAGGGGAAGGAAAGAGCACCCTGTACATAAACGAGTCGAGCTATGAATATTGGAATCCTTCACGCATCAACGAGCAATAAAACAAACCGATACTCTGGTTACAATATCGGAATACAGGGGCGTTCTAACACTCAGTATCTCTCTATATCTCTACAGTAAAATTTTACTCGAACACTCCATGGGCTGTTCCTTCATAATCGAGTGTGTCTTAGTTCGTTCTTCAGCAAGATACCTATATCTTCTAGTCGGATGAATATACGCACAAGACAGTTGCTAGGGAAGCATTAGTGGTGAGGAGCACCTCATACTCGTGCCGAATACATGCATTAAACGACATGAAACGTAGTAAAAGTCCCTTATTGGGACACCTCTTGGGTGTATATTGGCACTCCCTGGCGGTTATACTGACATGAAAACTGCAAGGAATATAAGAATATCAGAGAGGCTTCAAAATGTTTCTAATATGGAACTTTGATAACAACATTGAGCTGTCGAGGGGGGGCCCGGAAAGCGTTGATGTGTGAGATCACACGGTCCCGAAAGCCCCGGCCTTTGGTATAGAGTGTAACAAGAATCACCTAAATCAGTCACCAGAGTACCGGCCAACACTGGCGATGGACTGAAGCACTGGTATAAAAATGACTAGCGAGAGAGCGCGCCCAGTAAAGAATACGGTTTGGCCTGATAGCCGGGCTCACATACGACTAGGGGCCGGGCCTGAAGAATTAAACCTCGTGGTTCGCGCTATGTTTGATGAATATATAGCTTGGAGCTAGACATGGACAGTATCCTGCTTCTACCATGTACCTAGAGCAAGACAAGGCATACACCCACCTGTCCCATGACGTACTGTTGGTTCAGCGGCTCATCTCTACCTGTGTTAAATTCAACAGTTTTCGACACCTCAATATCACTCATTTTACAACACATTCCTACTCTTCTATTGGGCATTGTCACTGGTAATATATGTCACGGTCCGCGGCGACAATCACATTAGTTCGGATGAAGTAGGATGGGCTGGTTTCTCTGCTGGATGGTTGAATCAACATCATCATAAATACGTGATAAGTAGGATAAAGCTATATAAATATTGATGATTCCGTGACTCTTTGCTAACTAAGGTACGCTTTAGAACATCGATGCGGGATGCTTAAAGTAAACTATTCATCACTAAATCAATAGCCAAATAAAAAAACAACTAATCTAATCCTCTTAGAATGACGAAAACAACATCCCCGGCTTCTTACTTCAACTTTACGTGATTTGTTTACAGCTTAAAAAATATGCTGGTCGACGGCGGCCCGATTAAGTAGATTATATGTCTCAGTCTTGGTAGTATATTACACCGAACAAGATGTTGGGGGAGATCCCTACGCATTCGGACTCTTGTCTCAAAACCATCTCTTCCTTCGGTCACTCGAAGTAAACAAAAATGTTAATATTGCCCGACGGGACCAAAATATTGCAAAAGTAATCAAATGGTCCCAGTGAGGCTTGAACTCACGGCCTTCGCATTACAGATGTTATAGGGTAACTATAATATTAGTACGACGCTCTGACCAACTGAGATATGGGACCGAGTTGGTCGAAGTCGAGAATAATTTGCCTCAGAAACAAAAGATGGAAGTGGGGAATCGTACGTTCTTGGTGGGAACACTCTGTGGTCAACAATTACCTTCAACACTAGCGAGACTAGTAGAGGCAGTGCTGTAGGTCTGGTTGACAGTTACCATAAAAGATTCATTGCCGAGATTGCCAACATATCATTACATGGGAGGAGTGCCTTGCGTGCAGTGAACTGCAAGATGATCTCTTGGCCCCCGATCAGATTTGTGAGAGCTTGTTAAGTCTACGACATGTTGCACCCACTGGAATGGTATGCCTTGCTGTTAAAACTAAAATACTGAATCCGCTGGAATCCCCGGCGGATGATCATCTACTCGTTTCGTTATAACCAAAAGAATGAAAGAGAAAAGCGATAGTTGATCGCCGACGCGACGAGGCCCGTCGGCCTCTGTACCTAGCCCGGCTGTTTGTTGTTGTTGTTGTTGGATGCTAAGACATGGAAAATGACGTCTTCTCGGCTTGGCTACTTAATAACGACGTGCTGTTATATCTACACTAGATGACCCGTATTGGCAAAAAATGTTTCAATGACCAATCGTAAAATTTTGAACATTTTGCCAATGGAAGAGGATCTGTTATTTCGCTTGACTCACACTACCGCGTTAAACGCCAGGTGCACCTAACGCTAAAATCACCGAGTGGTTTTAATTATTGCGTGGGTCCTAGGCATCTATTTTTCGCCGGCGACTACCGAGGAACTTTTGTCGTTGCTAGCGCAAAACGTAAAACCGTTGTACCAAATCTCCAATTAAAGTGGCTCTTCGCCTTGGAATATTCCTTGTTAGGCTGGCGATCTGGACTGGATGCTGACCTGCCCTGGACATCCCCCTGTGCTGATGGTCCAGGTAGCCTTAGCCTTGTCTGCACTTAATTAGTACGAAATAATTGTAAGAGATATTGCCCGTCTCGCTTAGCGAAGTGGGAAAAGACGTGTTGGGATGATAATTTTCTTCTGGTAGTGTACAATTAGGATCCATATTGGTGCGGAGACGCAAGGACTCGAGTCTCCATGCGTGGACTAATTAGTCTTTCAGTATGGTCGCTGAATATAGTAGCTACCAATTGTTGTTATATATTGAGCCGCACTTCTGTAAGACTACCCGATTCACTGCGTCTAGAACTACTGCTGACCCGTAAACTTCCGAACAGGCACACGATAGACGAAACTTGACATCAAAAGATGCATACGCCTTGTCTGAGCGTGGGTGGTGTCACTATAGTGTTGGTATGGGACGGTACGTCCTGATGAAGGCCAAAGCGTACTTGGCTGTATCATTTGCTCATTGCCCGACACTAGTGAGAATCCTGCTACAAGGGAATTTACCCTACTTTAGGCATGCCAGTAGGAATGGTTTAGTACGAGATAATACGAAAAAAACGAGTTAGACGGATGGGATAATTCGATCCTTCAATACACTACACCTAAAATGGTAGCGATCCTATCTATCTGGCATATAAGCATGTTAATCAGTAACCTGTTCAGGTGACAGCAATCCTTCTTCCCCAGAGCCAAGGTTTTGCCCAGGCACGAGGTTGGATATTACGCTAGGTGCACTTCAGCATAGGAGCAGGATTTCTAGTGCTATCACTACCGACCTTAGTATCGCCGCTGTGCCGCAGCTACGCATAGATAAGAGCACTTTACACGTGTACGTAGGATTGACGTGGAATCAGACGATTACAGGTTCCCAGTATTCGGGTCGGCCTACGCTATTGGCCACCCTCTTGGCTGATCTCTACATAGCAATGGTGACCTCCCTTTTGGGACGAGGTAAGCTTACTTGTTTCAGCGCCTCAGCTCCCTCAGCTTGTTGACGCGCCAACACGTGGTCGTGGCACGTGGAGAGGTTTCGTTTCTGCACGATTCGGCACAAAGGACTTGTTGACATTTGCGCTCGGCACCAAGTCCAAACGCTTTCTTGAGTTGTCAAGGGTCGTACGTGGGTTGATGCAAGTGTTGCCTGACGTGTCTTTATGCGGAGGTCTTTGGGGTGTAGGTGTGCGTTCGCTTGGCTTCTGCCACTTGATCCTAGTTAGACTAGTTATCGGTTTGTTCGGGAGCCCCTGCGCCCTGATACTAGCTAGTATCAACGTCCTGACCCGAAGCTGCCGCTGTTCAACGGCAGTTATTTATGAATTGGCGTAGCGCCGTCGGTAAAGACAGAGTTAAATGGCCAACTGTCTTATTAGAGCGTGCTTCTACTGTAATTTGCCCACTGAATACATACTCTAAAGTACGGTACCGGCAAGCTCCTCATTAATAGCGTAGTATTTATCACTATGATGATGGGTGTGTTAATCATAGTAGTCACTTGATGTCTAGAGAGACTCGGTCCCGACTATCGAAGAGTTGACTCCAACGGATTGTTTTTGTATGTAATCAAGACCCATATCGGAAAGAACCGTGCTGTGGTGAATTCATCCATCGGGACGAAAAGATGATCGATTATCGTCGGCTCTATGCTCATCCGAAAAGCTGACCTATTGACGAACTAGGCCAAGGCAATAGTGCAGCATAGTATCGTATCTGGCATCGCTCGATGCAAGTAACTCCGTGAATAGTGTGCCGTAAGTTGCCGTTGGTGAGTCAAAAACGTCATCCGTGTCGTCCCAGAGGTTTGGGTAACCCCGGCCATATTAACGACCCACCTAACAAATTCCCGAATGTCATGTGGCCATTACGCGACTAAAACGGCGACTTGTCTTAAGCTTGCCATCGACTATTTACCCACTAGAGCGGGTGTGGCTTTTTGTCAAAGATAAGCAACATACTCCGTACTTAAGTTCACTACACTAGTCTAGGCTTTATATATCCCTACCTATATGAACTTTTGCTAATAATTTCTTTTTCACTCATCGGCGAGGATTCTCAGCCCCTTCAGCCTTTAGCCTCAGCACTAGTCACCTTGTAAATTACTCTAGTACCTTGTGATGTACAGTACGCCATAAGTGCAACAATGCTGGAACCTGAACTGATCTGCATTGTGCATGGAGTCTGGGGAAATCCTCTGCATCCCAGCTGCTTGGAAATCCATCGCGCATGATCGTAGTCTCTTGGCTCGCTTAGAAACGCCGCATACAGAAGGCTCTGAGAAATAGCGAATCTGACCTTAGGTAAGGCCTACATAGTACAACTCAGCTACTCGCGCTGCTACTGGCCCTGAGTGGACACCGGTCGAAGGGTTCCCCTATGCACAAAAGATACCTATACATGCGACGGTGTTATATCGTGTAAGTCTAATCAAGCCACAAGCGGCAGGAACCGCTGTAGACTCTGGAAAGTATCTAGTAGTAGCCCGAATCGTCTTGACATCATGGCGGATATTCCCGGAACACTATTGAACTGGCACGGCAGGACCTTACCAAGCTGGTTCGTTGTAACTGATTCCGCTCTGCTCGGGAATTATACTGGCTTGTGGCTTGCCAGCAAAGCATGTGGCGTTGGCTAGATGTGACCACCGACCAGGGCCTGACAGGGAATTGGAAATTACTCCGCATCTGGTAATTTATTCACCCGCGATGTACCAACTCACACCCGATAGCCGTAGAGTAAGTGTACAAACGTCATTCGATGAAGAGCACGAGTGCCCTAGTTCTGATCATGAATCGCACAAAAACGCGATTGCAATGATGAAACCGCGAAAATGGGCACCCTAGTATGAAAGTTCTTCGATATCATGCAGCTTAAAAATGCGCTAATGTGAGTTCCAAACTCCTAAAATGGAATTGTGCTAGTGATACCTGATTGGGACCTGCATAAAGATTGATGCCCGGATTAGGCACGCCAGCTAGTCAACAAGATCCCTCATTGGTTGGGACTGCAATGCTCTTGCCGCTTTTGCTGTAGTATGCACTTGCTCCATGGAGCTGGGAGATGGCTGGAGCGGCTGACCCGAGCCATAATGTCAAACTGCAGCACAGCATCATGCCGTCGAATAATAGCTTCAGATGGCTTGCTTGGTGTGTAGCATTGCATTCGTGCCATTATCTGGTGAACGCCATTCGCGAAGTCGTGCAGACGCCCGTGACGATACGATGACAGGAACCACCGAGAAGACGGCCGTCTTCTCAAAACCCGACCGGCGATCACCAAAACAACAAGACCTTCTTGTCACATTTTTTTATCATTTCTAAAACACACTACGAATCCGGCCTCTGACTCTGGTCTAGTTCTCACTGTGGCTCCGCCAACACTGAGTCGTAGAGCGAGTTTTGTCTCAACCCTGACATTGTTTTCTCTCCGACCGCGATACTCGGGGAACTGAACTGCGTTGCGATCAACACGGCAGCGGCGGGTGCCAGAAACATTACGACGCTATAGTTATTGGTCTTACAAGTTCTAAAGCTACGCCGATGGTCTCACTACCCAGGCACATTACAGTACAGCGGCAGAGTGTGAAAAGAGAAGCACACTGAAACAAGTCCCTAGCGACACCGAGACCGATATTTGTAAACCCGAGCAAGGCCCTTCCTGGTTTAGTCCTTACAAGGTTAGGCGCTAACAAGCCTAATTAACTAGTGCACTAGTTCGGTGCCAGATGAGGTAAAGAATACGCTTTCATCCAAACAGCTGAACTTTTTGCATTAGCTTTGCGACGATTGATCACCTAGGTAAATTCTCTAATACTAGTTTAATCCGGTAAATCTGATGATTAAAATTTTCGCCAGGTAGAAAAACAAACAATTCCCAAATCATTACACTTTTGATCGAGACAACAATTTTTGGTCTTAGCCATCAAGTTTGGCAGAGCGATCACCCTGGAATTTTACCCTACTGTACTAGTGCTCTGCGATAAGCGCTGACAACCCTTGCTACCCCCTACCTCCAACGTGTGCATACCAACTCGTCACCCAATTACGGCGCTTCCGGCGGACCCGTCTACGCAACGCCATTGGCTCAATCCGATCGAATCATCGCCAACTGGTTGAATTGGTCTGCTCTGGGCGCTAGA